CCAAGATGCATACTTTAAAAAATAGAAGAACACTTTAATTGCATATTCCCAAGCGACTGGCATAATAGACAAAGAACACCACCAGATACCTGTACTGAATCTCATACAGAAGGATGCAACCCAAACTCACTCAAAATAACAAAATATTTTTCAACAACTCTACATGTAAATTACTGCATATTTAACACAACCCCTGCAAATGTAATAAAACCTGGACAAGAAATTTATTAACCGACTGGCCTACTAATACAGATTCAGGTACAGCACCATCTAAACAAGTATCTATAATACTATGGATGAATACAAACATCAAGAAACAGCACAAGAAATATTTGCTAAATTCATATTTGACTTTAAATATATAAATGAAAGAGAATTCTTAGACCTTAAGCAAAAATACTATAGACTACGAGAAGAAGCAAATGATAGAACAACATGGATACAAGGCAGAGCATTCCAAACTTACAAAAGAGTACCAAGCAGAAGACACCCTGCAGAAGACTACAGAGCTGCAATACAATTATTGGGAAGACCAACTTCTTACGAAGACTTCTTTAACAAACTAGAACAAGCATATGATTTATATAAAGAAGGACAAGTAGGACCGGAGACAAGAAAAAAGAAAACTTTGCAAATAAAAAAGGATACAAATATAACAAATATAAACCAAGAAAAGAAATAAACTTCTTAGCAAATCAAGAATATTATGTAGTAAAGAAAAATGACCTAAAATACTACAAATGTAGAAAAACAAAACATTTCATGAAAGAATGTAAAAACAAAATTGCTAATCACCCTTATGCTAAAAAGTTTGACAAACGAAACTCTGGAAGAAACAACAATTACAAAGGAAAAGGAAAACAAAACTATAAAGAAAATTACAAAGGAAGAAACTACAATCCAAATTACAAAGGAAAATCCTACAATAACAAATGAGAATTTAATAAAAAAGATCAAGGAAAATTCTCACAAAATAGAACTGAATCTAGAAAATGGATTAAAGACTCTACAAAATCCAAATACTACGAAAAACCAATGAGCAACAACTATCAAAAATGGTTAGAAAAAACAACAGAACAACTACCACAATTATGAAAGAATTTTACAACATTCAAAC